GAAAGAAGAACTTAAGCAATTAGAAAGTACAGACTGAGGTCAAAATGGAAGTGGTTGAAGTCCTCTTTCATCTTCCCTCTACTGCCTCTGCCTTATAGTGTAAGTTCCTTTGTTAAGAAGTTCTTTATGCTTTTTGCTGGAGCAGAATAAAAAATTCATATTTGCCATAGTTTCTGAATATGATATCTGAAGTTTTAATGACCAAGAATTATCTGTCTTTGGTATTGTGGTTACAAATATAATTTGTAATCATAGGATTTTTGTATTTTATACAGTGATTATGAGGTAATGTTGAGCTCTTCAAAGCTTTGCAAATCAGCAAAATCTAATTGCTGATTAAAGTATGTTCTTGAGGGGCGCCTGGGTGGCTCAGTCGTTAAGCATCTGCCTTTGGCTCAGGTCATGATCCCAGGGTCCTGGGATTGAGCCCCGCATCGGGCTCCCTACTCAGCGGGAAGCCTGCTTCTCCCTCTCCCACTCCCCCTGCTTGTGTTCCCGCTCTCGCTGTCTCTTTCTCTCTGTCAAATAAATAAATGAAATATTAAAAAAAAAAAAAAGTATGTTCTTGGGCTGCGACAATTCCTGGATTCTATACTATGGAGACGATAAGAGGGTGAGAATCTAGGGAAAAAGCAATCTCAGTCGGTTTGGATTCATCATTAAGTCCTCAGTTTCTTGACTAAGGGAGGAAAAGAGAAGTTTGCACATACACAAAAATTGCAGGCACATCTCAACTTGATTGAGTCTCGTTGCTTCCTGGTAGGTGAAGATATACTGCTTTCTGTATTGGATTGTGGTTGTAAAATGGGGAAGAAGAAAACTACCACCACCACTGTTTGAGGTAGGTAGTTTCTGATTTCCCTTAATTGCACTTGGAAGACTTTTTTGGCCTCTCTGTAAAGCAGTGCTAGTTAGAATAGTAAGGGAGAGATATGTGAGTATAGAAAAAAGGCCAAAATGGGAGACACTAGGTTTATGAATTGAAAAATCCCAGTCACCATGTGGATGACTGATATATATGTCAGTCTGATTACTAGCAGTCAAGCTAAGTTCCCACTTTGTTACATATTCCTCTCCAATAAACCTGATTGTTTTTTTTCTTTTTATATTAACAAAATTTTTTTCTTTTTATTTGAATTCTTGATGTGCAGGAAGTGATTGAGAATGGAAGAATTTGGGTAAAAAGAGGAGACAAATGATTTGGTTCACAAAAGAAAGGGTCAAGAAATGAATAGCTTGAAAAAGACTGGGAGAATAATAATAGCTAACATTTAGATATAATATTTAGTATACATTGGGAATTATTTTAAGCATTTATTTACATATATTAACTCACTTAAGCTTCATAAAACCCTAATTTGGGTAATGACTTATTGTGAAATCCATTTTATAGATTCTGAAGCTGACACCCAGGTTAAGTAATTTGCTCAAGGTCACACAGCTAGTTAGTGGTGGAGTCTAATTTGAACTCAATCACGCTCACTCTAGAGTCCATACTCCTAAGTTCTTTTGACGATTTGATCAGTTTTGATCATAAGTCAAAAATAAATAGTTTAAAAATAAAAAATAAATTAGTTGAAATGAGAAAAGTTCAAATCAGGAAAATAATGCTAGTACGGGATTACTTGACAGGTAGACTATACCCATGCTTAAGTCCCCAGCAAAGCACGGACTTTTGGTATTTTGAAAAAGCATTAATGTAGTCATTGTGAGGAAAATCAGAACTTAGTTGGATATCCTCAAACTTATTTTACAGTGTAATATTATTTTTAGTTTGAACAATGCAAGACATCATAATCTTTCTCTGTAGTTAGGGTTTGTAGAAGTCTATTTCTAGCCCTGTAGAGAGCTTCATAGTTTTATACTTAGAGTGAAGGGTAAAATATGATTATCAGAAGAATATTTCTTACCTCCCCTTCATTCCAAAAATAAGTAAACATTTAAAGTCACTAATTCGTTTTCAATATTTCAGAGTGCAAAATTATTAAGAATCCTCTGCTTACATTCCAGGGTTTAAAATTACATTGAAATCATTAAGTTGTTTTTAGGAATATTGAAAAACAACAACAAAACTTGGTGATTTTTATATCCTTGTGTAACAAAATTCAACTGAGATAATTTGAGGATCAGATTGGCTTTTTCAACAATTCATGCTTTGGGCAGCATCCCATCTAGCAAGGAAATAGGTCTGGGGAGCTGCACAAAATGGAAAGCTTTTATAACCAGGAGGGGAAGAGAGAAAGAGTGGGCACCTCTCTGGAGAAGGTTGAAACTGCATTTAGTTAAGTATTAAGT